TGGGGCTGGCCTCAAACCTCAATCCCCACCCAATCTCAGTTATGAAGTAGCTAGGATTACAGGGGAAACCACCAGCACCCAGCTTGGTACATGCTGTTTTATGCAAGACAGAATGTATGAATAATGAAACTGGTATTTGGCTGAAGAAATTTCTAAGGAAGTTTTTGAAGATGCAGCATGGAATCTCTGGAGTGTCTATTATTATGCAAAAAGAAAATATGTCTCAGAGCTCTAAGCTTGCCCCATAAAAGTTACAGAGGGGCACAAAGGAAAAAGTGATTATAGATGCATTCTTCCCCAAAAAATGTTAGAGGAAAGAGGAAAAATTACTTAAGATGTGACTTTTTCATACAATTCTTACTTGAAATACACATTATTTTAAACCAAAACCACTCATCCCCCAGCCCAAGTATTTTTTTCCTATATTAAAAAGAAAAAAACAGAAAAGCTACAATGCGCTACACCATTCAGGAAGTCACTTGCTTACCAAAACTGGCGCCCACACTTGCAGCGGACAGGTTTAGCATCAGGATACTGGACTTTAACAACATGGTGGCAGTCCGGGGCTGGACACCACTTTAACAGTCGATTGCACTGGAACACGAGTTAGAAAATTAAAAAATGACAGCAAATTAAATCATCATGCAAAATTTCCTAACATACTGAGCACAAGGGCTTAGGAGGGATGACATAAGCATATAAAATCCTATTGCAGCCTTCTACAATGCTTTCGGATACACTGTTTTCAAGATTATTTATCCCGTAAGAGTTCACTTTATAAAATAAATGAACTATCACTTACTATAGCTGCAAAATCCCACTGAGAAATTTTTAATTATCCATTATGTGATCATTAATAAACATCAATTTTTAAATTATTATTATCATCTCAGAGGTCCTGGGGCTTGAACTCAGGGCCTGGCACTTGCTAAGCAACTACGCTACTACTTAGACTACTCATCAACCTTTTTTTTTTTTTTTGATGGTCTCGTGAGCTATCTACAAAGGGCTGGCTTTGAACCGAGATCCTCCTGGTATGTGTAGGTAGGATTACAAGGCCTCAACCACTGGCACCCAGCTGTGTTGGTCATTTTTGAAAGAAGATCTTGCATTTATGCCCAGGCCAGCCTGAACCTCACCTCCTATCTGTACTACTCAAAGAGCTGGAACGACAGGCGGGTGCCACTATGCTTCAGCTACTGGCAGAGATGAGGTCTTGAGAAACTTTTTGCCTGGGCTGCCTCAAAACAAGATCTTTTCAATCTCTGCTTCCTAGTAGCGGGGATTACAACTTGCAACTGGCCCAAAGATCAGTTTAACCTATTTCAGGACAATTTTCTTAAGAGTGACAAAAAATCACATAATTAAGGAAGGTGTTTGAGGAAGGCTAACAGATAAATATGCTGTTTCTCCCTTGGACTAACAGATAATATGCTGTGTTTCTCCCTTGGCACTACAGAAACAGCAAAAGCCAGTTCAGTTCCTAAGTCACAAGGAAAACTGCATTTAGTCCTAAAAGAAATATTCAACTATTTTCCAAAATACAATTTTTAAAAGTGTTTTCCAACAGCTTGTACCATTTAATTAAATTAACTAATTTATTTTATTTTATTATTTATTTTTTTTTCTAAGACAGCTCTTTGCTACATAGTCAAGGTTGGCATCAAGCTTGCGATCTACTGCTGGGATGCTGGGATTTTAGGTATGCACCACCACACCAGCTGAAATATTTTCCCAGTGTTTTTATTATGAACAGAATATGGAAACAATATGGCTGCACCAGACTTGAAAGTTCTATTAACAATTAAAAAGAAACTACTCCTAAAATGTGCTGTCTTTCCTTTAATCTCTAATGAAAGTGGCTATTTTCTAGAATTAAAATAACAATCTATATTGTTATTTTATATATTGGAACTGGCAAATCTCTCTTTTTTTATAAAAAGCTAGAAAGTAAAGATTTTTGTTTTGTAAGCTCTGTGTAACAGTTTCTGTAGAAGCCGCTACTCAATTCTGCACTGTAGGGGAAAAAAAAACTAAAAAAAAAGCAGTCAAAATTGAATAGCATGTTCCAGTAAATCCTTATTATACAAACATTTAGGTCGTAATTGCGGAGCCCTACTCTCCTCTAAGAAAGAATTGCAACTTAACTACAGCATATTGTTCCATAAATCCTTATTTTATACAAACATTTAGGTAATTGCGGATACCTAAAACAATCACACAAATAGCAGGATTAGAATCCTGAACATGATTAGACATGACTAATAAAAGTCTGCTGCAGTTCTCTGCTAAGGATAAAGAAGAAAGAAAGAAAACGTAAAAGCTAATTGTATCACCAAAGCTAAATATCTATGAACAGAGATTTCTTTGTTATTCTTGGTTTTTTGTTTGTAATATTCCTTTGATACTAAAGGTTTTAGGTATCATTCCATAAATATGACAAGTACTGTTCTTACTCTCGACAGACTGTACTTCTATTAATAAACAGAATCTTTTACTAAAAAGGAAAAGTTAAATCACTTACCTCTACAAAGCTATTTGTTATTAAATGCTGATACTTTAATTTAACTTTAGAATCTGTGATCAGGCGCCTGAAACAAAGAATAAAAATATTTTATTAGGAAGTTTTCACCCAGGAGAATTTTACACAATTATCAAGTATAATTTCAAAAAGTATGTATGCCGTGGCTACAAAACTGCCCTAAGGTGACAGTACTGACGTGCACATAGGCTATCAACAAAGTCTAACTAGTAATAAAAACAATACTTTACAAATGTTGGTATTTTATTTTTATACACATTTTCCTCGTTTCTTATATTCTAATTGCTCTACTTTTGCCCAGATTATATTATAGTCTAAGACTTGTCAACTATTGCCAAGTTTAGGCCCCTTTCAGGGTTCTTTTTACTCTGATATCATGCTTTCAGACAGCAATAATTGGCTACCTTCCTTTAAGACCCCCACCCCAAATCAATGTGTGAAATGACACAGTGGTGTTGACAGAAATGGATCCAAGTTTGTCATAACGAAAGCTTTACAACTTTGAGGGCCTTCTTTACCAGAGAACTATTGGAAATTTAATGGAAATACTCAATGGCAACCTGGTTTTCTCTGTCCACCAGAACATAACAATTTCTGTAACTCACAACATGAGCCCATGAAAGTAAGGAACTCTGAACCTTAAGTTTCATTATTGTTATGTTAAACACCCTTCTGAATGTATTGTAAGAATGCTTGAATAGTGTGTGAGAAGCCCTGGTTCAATCTCAAACACTGTAAGTAAATAAACAAATACATTACATAAATTTTTTTTAATGATGTTAAAAAGCAGGGTGGAGAGTGGGGAGGACAACTGACAAAATCATGAAGAACTACATCGAATATGCATAGTCCAACTGCAAGACAATTCTGCATGATACAATCTCATCTAATTCTTGAGCTTCACATCCTCCCAATCTCCTTCCACAGGAAACCACCCGTCCTGTAGCACTTTCACTGTGCCTAGTCACAAGCATATTCTTGTATCTTCCTGAAAAGTACTGAGCACTGCCCTTCCACAGGAGTGCTACATAAGATTACCTACCTCCCCTGGAAAGAAGGAGAAGAGAAGGAGAATGCCATGATGGGACGCTGAGATAGGATAGCCTACACTTGAAAACTGGCTTCACAACTCCAGTACCCATGAATTAGCAATTTTTTTTATTTTCTCTTGTTCTTCAGGTTATTAATTCATAAAACAAATAAAAAAATAAAGAGCTGTGAGACTAAAACAGTGCCTGATAAATACTAATACTCAATAAAATTAGTAATATATTATTGTATTACATTTTACTCAAGGAAGACTTTCTGACAATTCCTCACACCACTCAAAGTGTAGATTACCCTCCCTGGTACATACACATCTCCCTAATAGAATTTACAATAATTCCATTATAACCTAAGATTACTTTTCACCATAAATAAATAGCAATTTGGCTATTAACTCAAAATGGATCAAGGATCTTAATATCAGACCCCAAACTCTAAAGTTGATACAGGAAAGAGTAGGAAATACTCTGGAAATCAGTAGGTATAGGTAAGAACTTTTCTCAACGAAACCCCAGCAGCACAGCAACTAAGAGATAGCACAAGATAAATGGGCTTCATAAAACTAAAAAGCTTCCGTTCATCAAAAGAAATGGTCTCTAAACTGAAGAGAACACCCACAGAGTGGGAGAAAATATTGCCAACTACACATCAGACAAAGGACTGATAACAGAACAATAGGGAACCTAAAAAACTAAATTCTCCCAAAACTAATGAACCAATAAGAAATGGGCAAGTGAACTAAACAGAACTTTCTCAAAAGAAAAATTCAAATGGCCAAAAACACATGAAAAAATGCTCACATCTCTAGCAATAAAGGAAATGCAAATTAAAAACCACACTAGAGATTCCACTCACCCCTGTTAGAATAGCCATCATCAGCAACACCACCAACAACAGGTGTTGGCAAGGATGCAAGAAAAAAAGGAATCCTCTTACACTGTTGGTGGGAATGTAAACTAGTACAACCACTCTGGAAAAAAATTTGGAGGCTACTTAAAAAGCTAAACATTGATCTACCATTTGATCAGGCAATACCACTCTTGAGGATATACCCAAAAGAATGTGACACAGGTTACTCCAGAGGCACCTGCACACCCATGTTTATTGCAGCACTATTCACAATAGTCAAGTTATGGAAACAGCCAAGATGCCCCACCACTGACGAATGGATTAAGAAAATGTGGTATCTATGCACAATGGAATTTTATGCAGCCATGAAGAAGAACGAAATTTTATCATTCACCTGTAAATGGCTGGAATTGGAGAACATCATTCTGAGTGAGTTAGCTGGCCCAAAAGACCAAAAATCGTATGTTCTCCCTCATATGCGGACATTAGATCAAGGGCAAACACAACAAGGGATTGGACTTTGAGCACACATAAAAGCGAGAGCACACAAGGGAGGGGTGGATAGGTAAGACACCTAAAAAATTAGTAGCATTGTTGCCCTCAACGCAGAGAAACTAAAGCAGATACCTTAAAAGCAACTGAGGCCAATAGGAAAAGGGACCAGGAACTAGAGAAAAGGTTAGTTCAAGAAGAATTAACCTAGAAGGTAACAGACGTGCACAGAAATTAATGTGAGCCAACTCCCTGTATAGCTATCCTTTATCTCAACCAGCAAAAACCCTGTTCCTTCCTATTATTGCTTATACTCTCTCTACAACAAAATTAGAGATAAGGCAAAATAGTTTCTGCCGGGTATTGAGGGGGTAGGGGGATGGAGGGGGCAGGGTTGTGTGGTAAGGGAGGAGTGCGGTGGCGGAGAAATGACCCAAGATTGTATGCACATATGAATAATAAAACAATAAATAAATTAAATAAATTTAAAAGAATAGCAATTTGGCAAATTGTTAAAAACATGTTAAAGTTATCTACATAATTCTCTTTCAATACCTGTTTCTTCCTTATCTTCAAAACACAAAGCTTCCACGAAAGTATCTCCTGTGTTCAAGCACAGTGTCTGACCTACATACGTGTTCCCATCAATGTTTTTAAATGAATAAACTTTCTATTCACAGATGCTAAGGTTAAACATTTAAAAATTAGGTCTGATACTAATTTTTCCTAAAAAGTTAAACACAACATTACAATACAGCCCAACGCTTCCTGCCCTGGTACACAACAATTCTGGAGAATTATACACAACACATGCAAGTGTTCACATAACCCACAGGTTATTTTCCCATGAGTTTAAAGTATGCATATAAGGAATACTCAATAAGAAGAAGAATGACGTGCTGATTCACAAACAACATGGAGGAACCTTTGGAAAACATTATGCTAAGTGCAAGAAGCCACACACAAAGGCACATATGATGACTCCATGTATGTGAAACGTCCGTAACAGGTAAATCCGCAGACACAGGAAACAAATGAGAGGTTGAAGGGGTCCTGAGAGAGATGGGAATGGCTACAAGAATATTTGGGGAAGAAAGTACACAGCACTGAGCCATATGCTAGTGCGTGACTATTAACTCCATCACCTGGGAGGCTGAGGGAGGCTGAGTTTAAAGTGACCTTGGCTATGCTGCGAGCCTTGTCTCCAAAAAGAAAAAAGAGATCCTGGAATCAGGTAAGTGGTGATGATCGCACCACTGTACTGTATACTTTAAAATAATTAAATGGGGGAATTTCATGATATGGTTTTTTTTTGGGGTGGTGGTGGTATTGAGGTTTGAACTCAGGGCTTCACACTTCAAGGAAGGCACTCTACCACTTGAACCATCCACCAGCCCTTTTTTGACTTGGATGTTTTCAAGATAGGGTCTCTCAAACTATCTGCTGGGCTGGCTTTGGAACTGTGACCTCCTGATCTCTGCCTTCCACAGTAGCAAGGATTACAGACGTGAGCCACCATTGCCTGGCCACCATCAGTTTTGAGACTATATATATTCCAACTTCTCTGACAATGGGCATTTATGCTGTAGGGTTATGACTTCTTTATAAAATTTTTTGTGAAATTCTGATTATAAAAATTAGTAACATTTACTATCATTTGAATTTATTTCATCACAATCAAAGGTCAAATTATCTGACTCACCTTTTTTTGTTTTTTTTTTTTTGGGTGGGACTGGGTTCGAGACTGGGTTTTATACTTTCAAGCAGGTGCTCTGCTTGAACCACACCTCCATCCATTTTGGAGATGTCTTGGAGATGTTTTGAGATAGTCTTGCAAACTATTGCCCAGACTGGCCTTGAACCACTCTCCTCCCAATCTCAGCCTCCTAAGTAGCTAGGATTACAGTTGTAAGCCACAGGTGCAGGGACCAGCTCTTTTTTTCTTACATTCATACTGAACCCTAACTCTAGCTTGAAAATGCATCTAAAATCCAACACTTACCACTCACTCTGCTACCATCCTGATCCAAACAATCATTAATACTCATCGGAATGCTGTAGTAAGTCTCTCAACGATATCTAGTTTCCACTTAAAATTTTGATTTAAACACCTAAGTAAAGCAATCCTCTCTAACCATGTCACTCCTCTACTCAAAACACTCCCATAATCAAATAAAATAGAAAAACCAAATGCCATATAATGACCTATGAGACCCTACAGAATCTGCTTCATGTACCACCCCCACTCTTCCACACCTACCCTTCAATCTGTAAATTTATATTTATAGTTCAAAACCTTTTGTTTTTATTTTTGGTGGTATTGTTATTTAAACTCAGGCCTCACACTTGCTAGACAGATGCTCTACCACTTCAGTCACTCCACCAGCCTGTTTGTATTGGGTAGTTTTGAGATAGGTCTCAAGAACTATTTGCCAGAGCTGGCTTCGAACTGCAATCCTTCTGATCTCTGCCTCCCCCATAGTAGGAATTATAGGTGTAAGCCACTGGCACCCAGATTGAGCTCTGACCCTTAAGCATACATTGTAAAATAGACAGTATATACTATAGCTTTTGTGTTTAATTTTCTACTTACAATACTGAAGTCAGTGCTTTTATGTAACAGAAATAATAAAGGGCATTCAATTTATTCTACTATGAGAT